AACTTGGTGAGTGGAGCGGACCTGCAGGATGGGGGTGTTCACCAGTTCACTCCTGCGCGTCAGCGGGTGACCCACTGCACGGAGGCTCGCACAGGCCGACACCTGGCCACGTTCTCGCGTCGGCCGGGGTCGAGTCTCTACACCCTGACCGTTGAGTCTCCTCCTTTCCCTGCATCTGGTCAGGTGGCTGCGTCGGGTCAGGTACTTGCTGCTGCGTCCCGGTCAAGTCCTGAGTCTGCCCCCTGTTCTTGTCGCCTCCTGTCTCACGAGACTCTCCTGTGGCACCACCGTCTTGGCCACCCCTCCTTGCCCCGTCTTCGGAGCATGGCTTCCCGTGTCCTTGTCTCTGGTCTTCCCCAGTCTCTCCCTCCTCTCCCCTCCGGGCCAGGACCTTCCTGTGTCCCCTGTGTCGAGGGTCGCCTCCGGGCTACTCCTCACTCCTCCCACTTCCCCCCGACAGAGGCTCCCCTGCAGACGCTTCACATGGATGTGTGGGGCCCAGCCCCCGTCCGTGGGCAGGGTTACGAGCGATACTTCCTGTTGGTGGTTGACGACTACTCGCGTTACACCACAGTCCTCCCCTTGCGCAGCAAGGGTGTGGTCACTGAGGTGCTGATCGACTGGATCCGCGAGGCTCGTCTCCAGCTCAGGAAGAGCTTCGGCTCGGACTTTCCTGTTCTGCGTCTGCACTCTGACAGAGGCGGAGAGTTCTCTTCTCGCCTTCTGCGAGACTACTGTCGCGCACGGGGGATCGGCCAGACCTTCACACTTCCGGACTCACCACAGCAAAATGGGATTGCTGAGCGCCGCATTGGCATGGTCATGGATGTCGCTCGTACGTCCATGATGCATGCGGCTGCCCCCCATTTTCTGTGGCCGTTTGCGGTGAGGTACGCGGCGCATCAGCTCAACCTTCACCCCCGGGTCTCTCGGCCTGCGATGTCCCCAGCCTTGCTGTGGACGGGGAAGGTTGGCGATGCGTCTGTGTTCCGTGTCTGGGGATCTCGGGCGTTTGTCCGCGACTTGTCTGCGGACAAGCTGTCCCCTCGTGCTGCTCCCTGTGTCTTCCTTGGCTTCCCCACTGACGCCCCAGGGTGGCAGTTTTACCACCCCTCCTCTCGTCGTGTTCTGTCCTCCCAGGACGTCACGTTCGACGAGTCAGTCCCCTTCTACCGTCTCTTCCCCTACCGCACTCCTTCCCTCCCCCCTCCCCCGGACTTCCTTGTGCCGGTTCCCCCCCCGGTAGACCCCCTCCCCCCTCAGGTTCCTGCCCCCTCAGGTGTGTCCCAGGTAGACGCCGTTGACCCGGTCGAGGTTACTGGTGACTCTGGTGCTGCTGCGGGTGCTGAGCCTGGGGGTGCTGACTCTGGGGGTGCTGTGCGCGGGGGTGCTGAGCCTGGGGGTGCTACTGCTGGGGGTGCTGGGCCTGAGGGTGCTACTGCGGAGGGTGCGGAGCCTGGGGGTGCTGAGCCGGGGGGTGCTGTGCCTGGAGGTGCTGGGTCTGGGGGTGCTGGGTCGGGAGCTGCTGAACCTGGGGGTGCTGAGCTGGGAGCTGCTTAGCCTGGGAGTGCTGCGTCTGGAGCTGCTGAGCCTGGGGTTTCTCCTGCTGCTGCGTCTCGCCGGGAGTCCCTCTCTCCACAGGAGCTGCGCGAGTTGTTCGCTCGCCGCTAGGGCGTGCTGCTGAGTCTAGAGGTGCTGCTGGAGCTGGAGCTGGAGCTTCTTCGACCGTCGAGGGTGCGGGTGCTGCCGGTCCCGGAGCTGCTGGACCTGCGGGTCCTCCTGGAGCTGGAGCTGCTGAGGGCGCTGGTGCTGAGCCTACTGCTGTTGGTCCTGCCGCTGGAGGTGTGGGTGGCGCTGGTGCTGTCGCTGAGGGTGCTGGTGCTGTCCCTGCTGCGTCTGGAGCTGCCGCGCGGCCTCGGCCGTACTTCGTTCCGCTCCTGCAGCAGGTTCTTGGTCTTTCTCCTCCAGTAGAGGGTCCACCGCCTGTCCAGTCGCAGTCCCTGCTGGAGCCTTCCTCTCCCCTGCCTGCTCCCTCTCCTTACACTGGTCCTACTGGAGGTCTTGCTGAGCGTCGTGAGCCTGCGTCTCGTCCCGCGTCGCCTGTTCGTGCTGCTCGCGCTAGTGGTCGCAGTTCGCGTCAGCGTCCTCCTCCTGTCCCTGGCACGCACCGGATGTCTCTGCGTCCGTTCACTGCTCCTCTGCGTGCCCCTTTGCCTTCTCCTCCTGAGTCCTCTCTTCCTGCGCTTGCCGACCCTGAGTCGGACTCTCTCCGCGCTGCGAGTCCTACTGTCACGCGTCTGCTTGCTACTGTCGTCACTGACCCCTCTTTTGAGTCCACTGCTGCGTCTGCTCTAGTCGCTGAGCTCGTCGACTTTGCTGCTCGCTGTCGTCTCGACTACGCTGCTAGTCTTGTTGCTGAGTCTGCGTCTGTCTGTCCTCCGTCCGTCGGGGGTGAGTGTGCTCTTGGCACGGACGTCCTAGAGGACAGACAGGAGGAGTTACAGTGTCTAGCGGCTGCTTCACCTCATCTCGCGTCTGTACTGCTTGCCCCTGAGGGAGACCCGGATGCACTAGACATCCCGACTCCGCGTTCTTACGCAGAGGCCGTAGAGGGCCCCTACTCCTCTCAGTGGCAGGCAGCCATGGATGCAGAGATGGCTTCCTGGAAGTCCACAGGCACCTACGTTGACGCGGTTCCCCCTCCTGGGGCGAACATCGTCAGTGGCATGTGGATCTTCAGGGTGAAGCGGCCGCCGGGCTCTCCACCTGTCTTCAAGGCACGGTACGTTGCTCGTGGCTTCAGTCAGCGGCAGGGAGTTGACTACTTTCAGACCTTCTCTCCCACCCCGAAGATGACTACTCTTCGGGTGCTGCTGCACATAGCCGCTCAGCGCGACTACGAGCTTCACTCTCTCGACTTCAGCACTGCGTTCTTGCAGGGTAGCCTGCACGAGGAGATCCGGCTTCGCCGTCCACCTGGCTTCACTGGGACTTTCCCTCCTGGCACCCAGTGGAGCCTCAGACGGCCAGTCTACGGTCTCCGCCAGGCACCGCGTGAGTGGCACGACACACTGAGGACCACGCTTGCAGCTCTTGGGTTTGCTCCTTCTACTGCTGACCCGTCGCTGTTTCTTCGCACCGACACTTCCCTGCCGCCGTTCTACATCCTCGTGTACGTCGACGACTTGGTCTTTGCCACAGCGGACACTGCTGTACTCGCCTACGTGAAGTCCGAGCTGCTGAAGAGACACACGTGCACAGACCTGGGTGAACTGCGCAGCTACCTTGGCTTGCAGATTACTCGGGACAGAGCACGCCGCACCATTACCTTGACTCAGTCACACATGGTGCAGCAGGTCCTTCAGCGCTTCGGCTTCACGTACTCCTCGCCTCAGGCCACTCCTCTGCCTACTCGCCACTCACTCTCAGCTCTGCCTTCGGATGAGTCCGTAGAGTCGAGTGGTCCGTATGCAGAGCTTGTTGGCTGCCTCATGTACCTGATGACCTGCACACGACCTGACCTTGCATACCCTCTGAGCATTCTTGCACGCTATGTTGCCCCTGGGAGACACAGACCGGAGCACATGGCTGCAGCGAAGAGGGTATTGCGCTACCTGTGCAGTACGTCAGGCATGGGGCTAGTGCTTGGAGGGCGGAGTCCAGTGGTCCTTACCGGCCACGCGGACGCTTCTTGGGCTGACGACCAGGCTACGCAGCGGTCGTCACAGGGTTACACCTTCAGCCTTGGTTCCGGCTCTGTCTCGTGGCGGTCTACTCGCTCGTCTTCGGTTCTCGGCTCCAGTTGTGAGGCTGAGATCTACGCCGGAGCCATGGCTGCACAGGAGCTTCGCTGGCTCACCTACCTGCTGACTGACCTTGGAGAGCCGCCTCGTTCTCCTCTAGTGCTGTACGTAGACAACAAGGCCATGCTGGCCTTGTGTCGAGAGCAGCGCTTGGAGCACAGAACGAAGCACATTGCTCTCCGCTACTTCCTTGCTCGTGAGTTGCAGCAGCGTGGTCAGTTGCGACTTGCGTACGTGGCCTCTGAGGCCAACACTGCTGATGTGTTCACCAAGGCACTTGCGCCTTGTGACCATCAGCGCCTCTGCACCCAGCTGGGTCTTGTGCCTGTCTTGCCTCACTTGCTCTCCTCTTGACTTTACTTGTACTGTGACATATATATATACCTGCTCTTGCTTGTCTAGTTTTATATATATATGTCTGTACTCTTGCTTGTGAACTGGCCTTTGGCCTTGCTCTTGTGCTCGGACTGTGTGGTGACTTTGTGATCCACCCTGAGCTTTGCTTTGTCTTGCTTGACTGGTCTTGTGACCCCTTGTTCTCCCCCACTTTGCCTATGGGGGTGTGTCAGAACATATCCATAGCTTATACTGCTGTGTAGGCTGTAGTGGGGTATCCCATAGGGGGTACAACCCAGTTAGGGTTTCATATTTGTACTGCTTTCATTCATAGTCCCACTCATTCCTGCTTTCTCATTACCACATTAGGCTGACGTAAGTTTACTTACGTGGTTGTGATGTCTGATTTGCTTTATAGCTCAACTTCGAAGCTACAATTATCGGATATTCCAGGCTCGGCCTCCCGTCAAATGCGGCGTGGTTCAACAGTGCAGATTGCGTCTAGAAAATTATCGTGTGGCCACCATACAAGGCAAAAAATGAGGGGTGACCGAATTACCGAACCGCATATCAACTCACCAGATGCTCTCGAGAATGACTCTCTGAATTTACAAACAACACCTTGATTTGATCGTGTGTGCTAGTGATGAGTTTGTTATTCGTTAAAACGCAATTTCGTGCATGTGCTCTGTTCTACTTTTGACAAATTGGATTTGAACCCAAAACGGGTTTGTGTTCAACGAGTGGTTGCGCCATTCCCCGCAGCCCATCCCATCCCATTCTATCTCATGCCAGATCCCCACCCCATCCCATCAACGGGGCAAGTCTCGGCCACGTAGCCTCACTCCTAGTAATCACAAGATGGCCTTGCCACGCTTTCCCGTTCGCTTCTTTGCCGTGCTACTCCTCGCCCTTATCGTCGTCGTTCTCGCCACCGAGCTATTTACTTGCGATCATCACTTGTGCTCAGTCGCTTGTGCTCATCGCTTGTGCTCAGTCGCTTGTGCTCGTCGTATTCACTCGTGCTCGCCGGTCCTCTGTCACCCGCCTTCCCATGCTCTTGGCTCACCCCTTTCATCGCTTTCTGTTTTCCGCTCTTGTCCCCGCCTCTTTGCTCCGCTTCGCCCTTGCTTGCCCCTCTGTCCCGCGTGGCGGGGTCTCTGCGCGCGGCTCCCATGGCCTGTGCTTGTAGGCTATGAGAAGCACCAGGAGCGGCGCAAGGAGGAGGCGTGTGAGCCCGTGGTGGGGCAGACGGGCGCGGACTCGCGGGTGCGGCAGCGCAAGGTGGAGGCGCACAGACGTGGACTTGCGTGGGGACGCATGCAAACTTCCTCCCTCCCTCCCTTTCTCCCTCCCTCCCTCCCTCCCTCCCTCCCTCCCTCCCTCCCTCCCTCCCTCCCTCCCTCCCTCCCACCCTCCCTCCCTCCCTCCCTCCCTCCCTCCGTCCCTCCGTCCCTCCGTCTCTCCTACCCTCCCTCCGTCCCTCCCTCCGTCCCTACCTCCGTCCCTCCCTCCCTCCGTCCCTCCCTCCCCCCCCTCCCTCCCTCCGTCCCTCCCTCCCTCCACCCCCCCGCCCCCCCTCCTCTCCCTCCCCCTCCTCTCCCTCCTGGCCGCATGCCATCTCCGCGAATAGATGGGATGGGATGGGCGCGCCTGCTGCATCCGCCGCCGCCTCCGCCGGGGCTGACCGGCTGCTCAGGTTGAGCGAGCATGGAGGGGGGGGGAGGTGGGCACAGTGGGATGGGCGGGGCTGAGATGGGTGCGCTGGGATGGGCGCGCTGGGATGGGGGGGGCTGGAATGGGGGGGGGGGAAGTGGCAGCAGGTGTGAGAGGGTTCGCCTCACCCCCACTCTGCGTTTCCCTTGGCTCACCTTTCTTTCCCCCCGCCCATTCTCTTTCCCCCTCCAATTACCTTTCTCTCCACCCGCACACTCTCTTTCCACCTCAGATCATTTCTCTTTCCACCTGCTCACTCGGATTTCTCCTTTGCTCAACCGTTTTTCCCCTGCTCTCTTGTTTTCTCCCTTCCCTCATCCGTCTTTCCCAACTCACTCTCTTTCCCCCTTTGCTCACCCGTTTTCCCTATACTCTCCAGCAGCGAAGGTGCTGTGAAGAGCAGAGCGGTTAGGGGCAGTGTGTGGCGACAAATGGGCGGCAGCATGCGGCAGAGAAGGAGGGTTGGGTTCCTGGCATAATCAGTTGTGCCTTCTTCCTCTTGTGGTTGTTTTGCCTGCGGTTGTTTTTTGTGCTCGTCTTTTGCTTTTGGCCTCCCTTTTTATTATTTTCTTCGGTTTATATAATTTCGTCCAGCTTTAAGCACACCCGTTTGTCCCGCCAAACAGACGCAGAAGCAGCAACGGCCACAAACACTGGCCGGGGTTGGGGGCCTAGTGTACCATTCAACGGATGGGGAGGAGGCGACACAGCATCAGCTGGAAGCAGTACAGCAGCTGGAACATGGGGGACCGCAACAATTGAGGAAGGATACTCAGCACGGGTAGAGAAAGAAGCACCAGAAGAGATGGCCGAGCCTCATCACACCCCAATCCCAATCGGCATCCCCTCGTTTGGACCCCCTTCTCCTCCACGAACATACTCCCCCACCCACAACAGCCCCGACCGAGACACCACCCTGCCTTACTGTCGCTACCCTCACAACCCACTGCCTTCTGTATCTACTCCAGTTAAACCCCATGACCCAAACACAGCCGGGCCTTCCACCATCCACGGACCACCACCACACCACCTTCCTTGACCCATTCTCACTAAAGGAACAGCAGACACAACGGACATCACAGCTCACACCTGCACAGCCTCCCACTGCCCATGAACTCATCCTTGCTCTCCAACTATCAATCTCTCCTCAGCCCATTCCACAGCCTGCCCAACCCAATACGATCACCCGCACTGCGAGCACCTCCTGACCTCTGGCACAAACGCCTTGGCTACCCCTCTCAGGAGATGCCCAACAACTGTATTTGCACTGGAGTCTTCATTTCTGGCACGCTACCTCACCCTGACGGCTCTCCCATCACCATCATCAACAATCGCGACACAGCCTGCATCGTTTGCCCCACAACCGATCTGAATCACAAGCCCTCTAAACTCATTGAGCCCAGAACGAACCGCTGCAAAAAGCTCCAGAATGTTTACAGTGACTTCTTCATCCTCACACAAACAGGCATCAACGGCAAGGAGTACTCTTTCACCTTCGTGGACGCTCACTCTTGCTTCTTCTAGGTGGTGAATGTGTTTCACAGGAGCAAGGTGTCTAGAACATTTAAGGTCTGGCTTAGCCACACAGAGACACAATCTGGTTGCATCCTCAAAATCTGGCAAACTGACTGCGCAGACGAATTCAAGAGTACCGCTCGAGGCATACACAAAGGACAAGGGGATCATCCACACCCTCTCTCTCCACTACGCTCACCATTAGCAAGGCATTGTTGAGCGCACAAACAAGACCTTAATGACCGGGGTTCAAGCCCTCATGCAGCAGAGTAACGTTGATCCGAAGTATTGGCCTTACGCCATGCGTCACGCCGTCCGTCTTCACAACCATCTCTGCATCACCGCCCAACAATAATCGCCTGCACAGTGCAGTACCGGCCTGCCACCGCCAACACAGGAAAGTTCCAATGCTGTGCGTGCTAGGGAGTGCACTTGGGCATCAGTTTTGAGCACCACGCCTGGAACTTCCTCGAGTACGAAACCTCTCGGGTGGTCGCGGCACGTGACGTCATCTCCTAAGAAGATCTTACTATTCTGCAGTTCTAGACCAACGGACACGCTGACGGACGCAGGCTTGGCGGTGTGTCTGGTCGCGTGGCCTGCTATGAACGCCCACCTCGCAGCTTTGCCACTCCCGCTGACGAAACCGAAGCTGCGGTTACTGATCAAGATCTCACAGAACCCCATCCCAGACCGAGCCCTTGGAGCGATGAGGACCTCGACTACTGGCACGACTCCCTGCTCAGCCCCACTCCGTCCAACGAAAACCACTCCGATGACGACGTTATGAAGGTCACCAGCGAGCAGTAGCACAGCCCTAGCCTTTTGGGCCTGCAACTCCTTGGTCTTCACACTGCAGTCTCTCACCCGTGAAAAGAGGTTGAACCCAAAACCTTACGGCAGACACTCACCGGTCCCTACCGCAACGTATGGCGTGCGACAATAGATGCCGAAGTCGCCGTGCTCGAAGCTCGCAAGACATGGCTCCTTCTTGATCATGCCGCGCTGAAAGGGGAGGAGTGTCCTGTAAAAAAAAAGGGGGGGTCTTCTGCGTTACGATCGCCGCTGATGGAACCATTGAATGTTTCAAAGCCTGCTGGGTCGTGCGTGGCTTCGATCAACGCCATGGGATTGATTTCGATCAAACATTCACTCCCGTCAGCCGCCATACTTCTCTAAACATGGTTCAGCCAGCCGAGAGCAATGGTTGAGCCAATCTCAACCTACATGAGCACAAAATGAAGCTCCAGCCCGACTACAACCCCAGCTAGAGTGCCCCCTCCTGAGGCCACCGAGCCGCTCCTCTACGAGGAATGTCCTCGTAGTGGAGAGCACTTGACAGCTCTTACGCTGCCATCGTGTTTCCAGGAGCGTTCTAGAAGCATCTTTGCGCTGCTGGCAGCAAAACGACACTGGCAGCATCATTAGACACCGGTCGATGACGGTAGAATGATTTTCTAACAAGTCAATGGGTCTTATTAAAAATTCCTCTCTATCATCCATTCTCGTTCTCACTGTTAACGATACATGAATTCCTACTTCTGCTTTCAGGACCGTTAGTCTAGCCTCTACAAAAATCCTACGGCTGCACTCAGCGCAACAAGTATCACGCTTCAATCAAACTATTTCTAGTTAGCCACCAAACCAATATGAACTGTCACAGTTGCGTGTGTGTTCTGTTTGGCAGCACTTTGAAAGCTGGCACACATGTGTTGTTCCAAGAAGAGAAAGCACTCTATTGCTCGAAATAACTGAGGCTGGGTGGCGGGGAGTCGGGCGGCGGAATGAGGGCAGTGGGGGGGTAGTCCACGCGCATGAGGGAGAGCCCCTGGGGCTTGGCGGTGGGCGCCACGCGTGCCAGCTGGCAGCGGTCCCCCGAGAGCAGGAGGTCCGTGACTATAGAGGGGGGCAGCGTGCCAGCTCCTATTTGCAGCAGTAGGCCCACCTGGAGGGAGGAGGCGTAGGGAGTGACGCGGAGAGACGAGAAGGGAGGACAGGATGAAGAGGAGGGTTTAGCGCAAAGCCAAGTGTGCAGATACCCACAGCATGTGGGCTGGGCTGACAAGAGGGGGCGGTGAGAACATGGAGACGGCATGAGTGGTTACAGATATGGAGCGCTGTGACAGGAGAGGCAGGGACGATGGCGCTAATCATAGGAGCTGTGCCTCACCATGCTGCATCTCACCATGCTGCATCTCACCATGCTGCATCTCACCATGCTGCATCTCACCGTGCTGCATCTCACCATGCTGCATCTCACCACGCTGCATCTCACCATGCTGCATCTCACCATGCTGCATCTCACCATGCTGCATCTCACCATGCTGCATCTCACCATGCTGCATCTCACCATGCTGCATCTCACCATGCTGCATCTCATCATGCTGCATCTCACCATGCTGCATCTCACCATGCTGCATCTCACCATGCTGCATCTCACCATGCTGCATCTCACCATGCTGCATCTCACCACACTGCATCTCACCACACTGCATCTCACCATGTTGCGGACCTGCCGATAGAGAAACCCCGATCCCTCCACCTCAAAGCGGAACACAGGTGACGGCTCTCCCTGCACTCACGGGGAGACACACAGCAGCAAGCGTGAGGGGCTTGGGTGGATGATGCAAAGAGTGTCAAGATAGAGGCGTGCCACGATGCATGGTGCCACGATGCATGGTGCCACGATGCATGGTGCCACGATGCATGGTGCCACGATGCATGGTGCCAAGGTGCGTGGTGGGACTGCATAGCTCACAGCGCCACCGTAGCATTACAGTCCCTCACTCCCCCTCCCTCCTCCCCCAGTTCCTACCGAAACCAGTTCAGACCGAGGCATCTTCCCCACAGCGCCCTTCTCCTCGTCCTCCAACTAAGGGTATTCGTCTGGGGTTCTCAGCCAGCAATACTCCCTCATACTTCAACCCCCCACTCCAAGTGCGTTGCACCTCGTCCACCGTGCCCTGCCAGCAGTCCGCCTCCCCCACCAGCTCGAACCGTGTGATCTCCCTCACCGCGCCCTTCTCCTTCGCCTCGCACGCGTTGGCGAACGCCGCAAAGTCGCGCCGCCCCTCAAACAGCCGAGCCGCCTGCGCCATGAGGGGGCGGTCCAGCGGGCCGCGTGAGTAGGAGAGCAGCGTGGCGCGGCGGTGCGGCAGCAGGAGCGGGGTGGGGCTGTTGAGCACGGTGTAGTGATAGCGCTTGCTGCACGCGTGCAGGCGCGCGTGGAAGGATAGTGGCACGGCGCGCAGCGAGCGCACGCGGATGGCGGGTGGCAGCAGCGCGTTGAGAGCGCGGTGCATGCGGGGCAGGTCGCATATGGGGGAGGGGGTGGTGAAATGGGCTACCTGATGGGACGGAGGGAGGGCAACAAATGGGAGGAAGTGAGTAAATCACCGTGAAGTATTATTGACACACTGATCCAACTGCTGCTCTCACGCTGGAAATGCCGACCGCCAAGCATGCACACCTTGCATACCTGCCCCCAGGCATGCACGCCAGCATCGGTGCGCGAGGCACCGGTGACCCCCAGCTCGGCGCTGCCCTCCCGCGTGTACGTGGCCAGCGCCGCCTCCACCGCCCCCTGCACTGTGGGCCGCTGCGCCTGGCGCTGCCAGCCTGCCTTGGCGGGGTGGGGCAGAGGGGTGAGAGGCGCGGAGCAGCGGGGGGGGGAGCAGAGTGGAGAGGAGCAGAGTTGGGAGGAACTGAGGTCAAGGGAAGGCTCACGCAGCATGCACGCACCATGTACCATGCACCATGTACCATGCACCATGCAACATGCACCACGCACCACGCACCATGCACCATGCACCATGCACCATGCACCACGCACCATGCACCATGCACCATGCACCATGCACCACGCACCATGCACCATGCACCATGCACCATGCACCACGCACCATGCACCATGCACCATGCACCACGCACCATGCACCATGCACCATGCACCATGCCCCACACAGCATCATGTGTGGGATCGCTTTGCATCACTTCGCTGTGCTCCTTCACAGGGGCGCCAGAAGGCATGCGGGCGCGGAGCATGCAGCAGGGCACGTGGCGGGGGGCATGCGGCGGGGGGTATGCAGCCGGGGGCATGTGGCATGCCGTGTGCTTGTCTCACCATAGAAGTGCGTGCCGTCGTACGCCAGCACCATCATGTACCGCCGCCGCCCCTTCCATGCCCAATCGCCGCCGCCACTGCTGCCGACCTTGCCCTCTCCACCTTCTTCCGCCACTGCCTCTGTGCCCTCCATTTCACTCCCACTTTCACTTTCTCCACCTCCCCTCTCCATATCCTCATCCCCCTCGTTTTCCTCCTCACCGTCCCTCTCGCCCCACTCTGCGCTCGCCCGGATCCTTCCCCCGCCAATCCTCTCCCCCGTCCCCCCAACCGTCCTTCCCCCCGTCCTCCCCACCGTCCACTGAGCCCCTCGCCCATTGACTAGCCAGGAGCCGCGTGCAGCTGACGTCATCGCCCAACCGCACCTGCGCTGCCGCCTCTCCGCCCATCCCCGCGCCCTCGCCACTTCGGCGCCCCTTCCAGCCGCAGCTGCGCGCACCGTCCGCCTCAGCTGGCCCATCCGCCTCCGCGCTTCCCCGCAGCGCATCGCGCCGCCATCAAACCGCTCCGCGAGCTCAGCAGTGGCTTCGGCTGCGCGACGTGGCAGGTAGCCATTGGCAGCGAGGCATAGTGTGCGAGAGTGGTGACAGCAACGAGGAGGCGCGGACGTGAAGGGGAGGATGGGGAAAGAGGCAATGCGGGGCATGTGGGAGACGCGTGGGGTGGAGGCAATCCAAGGGCAATAGCGTATTACCTAATCCTTGGCTCCCTAATCGCCTCTCCCTGCTAGGCGCAACCTACGCTACTAGCAAGAGGCGGGGTGAAGGATGAAGGGAATATATAGCGGTTGGGCTGGGTAAAAATTGTTACTGACCACCACAAAAGTTCAAACAAGTTTGAAAAACAATCCAAAAGGAATTTTCATTTTCCTTATCAGGGTTGACTCCTTCACGTACAACCCTGCATTTTCTGACTTCTCACGTTCGGCCGACATCCACGATTTCGAGGCTACTCCGCGTCGCCTTCAATTTTCCCTTCGCCATACCTGCTGTGATCAAAGGTTGATCGTCCATAGGATTGTTAGAGTACGGTAGGTTGGTAAGGATGATTCAACAATCGAGAAGTTTTGGTACAAAAGTGAAACCTAAGGGGTTGTACCCCACAGTGAGTACCCCACTAAAGCCTACCTAAACTAAAACATACAAACATATGTTTGACACACCCCCATAGGCAAAGTGGGGGAGAACAGAGGGTCACAAGGCCAGGCAGGAAATGCAAAGCAAGCTCAGGGTGGATCACAACGTCACCACGCAGTCTGAGCACAAGCAAAAGGCCACAAGGCCAGTTCACATGCAGAGATATATATGTAACAACTACAGCACAGTGATCTCTACCTACAAGAGCAAGCATCCACGTCTACATATAGATCACAGTACAAACAAAGCCTACAGCAAGTGAGGAAGCGTGGGCACAAGGCCTAACAAAGTGCAGAAACGCTGATGATCACCAGGCGGAAGCGCCTTGGTGAATATATCAGCAGTGTTGGCCCGAGTGCAAGGCTCTCGTTATCAGGGTAAAATACCCTTTTTGCACTGACTGGCGGCCGCTTTTTTTTCAGTTACCCTTTCACAGGCAAGGTAATGGATTTTTTACCCTAGGCCAGAAAGTGTAAGTTTTTTTTAACCTTTTGAAAAAGCAGCGTAAGTAATTCATTTCCCTGACTGTACACTATACGATCTCAGTCATACTGTCACGGAATGCTCCGAAGCGAGACGAAACACTATCCGGCCCCTGCAAAATGCTCCGAACAGCAAGACTCGTACCTGCGACCTTACGAATCTTATCTGTAATCGAACAAACTTACCCACTAATGCTGACGTCCACGCGCTTAGCGTTTTACATATAATCTTTAAAGAAAAAATACCCTGGCCCAACAGACTAGCTTTGTTTTTACCCTGCTTTTGTCAGGGAAACAAATTTTTTACCCTACACATCAGGGTTGACTATACCTAGAACCCTGATTACTAAGGGTGGCCCAAAACGAATCTGAAGCCCTGCCCGAGTGGCCACGTGAGCAAGACGAAGCTGACCACGCTACTGCAACTCTCGAGCCAGGAAGTAACGCAGAGCGATGTGCTTTGTTCTGTGCTCCAGTCTGTCAGAATCCCAACCACTAGACCATTGGGATAAAAGGGCTTGTTTCGGTAGCGGGTCAGTGCGCCCATAACCCCCCAGGCGAACGCGCATGTAACCCTCTCCAGGATCAATCGTGCATCCACAGTGCACATCTACTGACACAGTCTGTGCTCCTGACACAAGGCAATGGCGGCCTTGTTGTCGACGTACAGCACTGGAGGAGAACGAGGCCGCTCTCCAAGGTCGGTCAGCAGGTAGGTGAGCCAGCGTAACTCCTGTGCAGCCATGGCTGTGGCGTAGATCTCTGCCTCACAACTGGAGCTAAGAACTGAAGACGAGCGTGTAGAACGCCAAGAAACTGAACCAGAGCCAAGGCTGAAGGTGCAACCCTGTGACGACCGCTGCGTAGCCAGGTCGTCAACCCAAGAAGCGTCCGAGTGACCAGTGAGGACAACGTGGCCCCGTCCTCCAAGCACGAGCCCCATGCCTGATGTACTGCACAAGTAGCGTAGTACCCTCTTCGTAGCATCCATGTGCACCTTTCGGTGCCGACCAGGAGCCACGTAGCGAGCTAGAAGACCAAGAGGGTACGCTAGGTCAGGACAAGGCAAGTCATCAAGTACATGAGGCAGCCAACTAGCTCTAGGTAAGGACCACTCGGCTCTACGGACTCGTCCGAAGGTGGAGCTGAGAGCGAGTGACCTGTAGCCAGAGGAGTGGCCTGTGCCGAGGACCAGGTGAAGCCGAAGCGCTAAAGGACCTACTGCACCATGTGCGACTAAGTCAGTGCGATGGTGCAGCGTGCTCTGTCCCGGGTGATCTGAAAGCCAAGGTAACTACGCAGCTCACCCAGGTCTGTGCACATGTGTCTCTTCTGCTGCTCCGACTTCACCAGGGCCGGAGCCTCAGTGTCAGCAGTGGCTAAGACCAAGTCGTCGACATACACGAGGATGTAGAACGGTGGCAGCGAAGTGTCGGTGCGCAGAAACAGCGACGGGTCAGCAGTGGAAGGAGCAAACCCAAGAGCCGCAAGTGTCGTCCTCCTTGTGTCGTGCTACTCACGTGGCGCGTGATGGAGACCGTAGACTCAGCAACAAAGGCAGACGCAGCAGCAGACTCAAACGACGGGTCAGTGACAACAGTGGCTAGCAGATGCGTGATAGTAGGGTGAGCAGCACGGGTGCGGTCAGACTCAGGCTGAGGAAGAGTAGGTAGAGAAGACGCAGGAGGGGACGGCAGAGGAACACGCTGCGGAGGAGAGGAAGGACGATGAACTACGAGGTGGGTGCCGGGGACAACCGGCTGACACGAACGAGGAACACGACGACCGGAAAGACCAGAACGGACAGGCAAGACAGGACGCGACGAAGGCTCACGACGCTCAGTAAAGCCCCTTGACTGCTCAGTGTAAGGAGAAGGAGGAGGTAGCGGTGAGCCAGGCTGTAACGGAAGACCAGAAGACGAAGGGAGACTAAGAACCTGGCGAAGTACAGAGTCAGACGGTGGCTGAGACCACGGAGATAGTGGAGCAAAGAACAGGCGCGGCTATGCAGCGTCACCAGCACCAGCAGCTCCAGCACCCCCAGCAGCTCCAGCACCTCCAGCAGCTCCAGAACCCTCAGCGCCAGCTCGTCCAGGACCAGCTCCACCACCACCAGCAGCACCCCCAGAACCGGCACCTCCAATCCCAGTGTCTTCAGTCTTAGTGTCTCTAGTAGCAGCACCTCCGGGACCAGCACCACTCCCAGCTCCAGTGACGCTAGCAGCGGTACCTCCAGCGGTAGAGCCCCGAGCTCGAGAAGCGCGACCCTGACGGCGACCGTACCAGTCGTGCAGCTGCTGTGAGGTGAGAGGCACATGCGGACGAACGCGGCTACTCCAAGGAGACCGCGCAACAGCAGACTCAGAACCCTCAGCGCCAGCACCCGCAGCAGCTGCAGAACCTCCAGCGCCAGCACCCGCAGCAGCTCCAGAACCTCCAGCGCCAGCACCCGCAGTAGCTCCAGAACCTCCAGTGCCAGCACCCGCAGCAGCTCCAGAACCTCCAACTCAAGTGCCACCATCGCCAGCACCCTGAGCAGCTCCTGAACCTCCAGCAGAAACAACTCGAGTAGCATAGTCACCAGCTCCAGCGCCTCCCGCAGCAGAGCCCCTAGCTCTAGTAGTGCGACCCTGACGGCCAGCGTACCACTCACGTAGCTGCTGTGGGGAGAGAGGGAGTCGACGACGAGAGTGGAGCGGCGAGGTACCAGTAGAGCGACTACGAAGACGGCCGCCCCAGGGAGACTGCTCACCAGACGCCTCAGCGCCCTTAGATGCAGTAACCCCAGACTCAGTACCCCCAGGCTCAGCACCTCCAGTCTCCGCACCCCCAGGCTCCGCACCTCCAGGCTCCGCACCCCCAGGCTCCGCACCCCCGGGCTCAACATCCCCAGAAGCAATACCCCGAGCTGGACCACCCTCAGCAGGACCTGAGTCACCAGTGACCTCAACCGGCGCAGTCAAGGGAGGAGGGTCTACTTGAGACACACCTGAAGGAGCAGGACCGGGAGTGGGGAGGGGGTCTACCTGGGGAGCACCTGGAGCAAGGAAGAGCGGCGGTGGGGGGAGAGGGGCAGTGCGGTAAGGGAAGAGACGGTAGAAGCGAACCGACTCGTCGAACGTGACAACTTGAGAGGGGAAGACATGGCATGATGTGGGGTGGTAAAACTGCCAACGAGGCGCGTCACGGACAAAGCCAAGGAAGACACAGGGAACAGCGCGGACAGAGAGCTTGTCCGCGGTGGAATCGCGGACCAAGGCACGAGCACCCCAGACCCAGAAACACGACGCATTGCCGACCTTCCCCGTCCACAACAGTGTGGGCGAGGTCTCCGGCAAGGAGATACGGGGCCAGAGGTTGAGCTGATGCGCAGAGTAGCGGACCGCAAACGGCCACAAAAAATGGGGGGCAGCCGCATGGACCATGGAGGTACGAGCGACCTCCATGAGCAAGCCAATGCGGCGCTCAGCAACCCCATTCTGCTGCGGAGAGGCCGGAAGCGTGAACGTTTGGAGGATGCCGTGCTCCGCACAGAAGGCTGCCAAGAGGTCTGAGGAGAACTCACCACCCCTGTCAGAGTGCAGATGGAGGACGGGAAACTTTGTCCTGAACCGCTCGCGGAGCTGGAGACGAGTAGCGCGGATCCAAGGGATCAAAACATCAGGGACCTCACCCTTGGTGCGCAAGGGGAAGACCGTGGTGTAACGCGTTTAGTTGTCGACGACCAGCAGGAAGTATCGCTCGTGGCCCTGTCGACGGACGCGGGCTGGGTCCCACACGTCCAGGTGGAGAGTCTGCAGGGGAGCCTCTGTGAAAGGGAACGAGGAGGAGTGAGGAGCGGCGCGCTGCCGCCCCTCGACATAGGGAAGACAGGGAGCAGCAGGCGAGGCTGGGAGGGGAGGGAGAACCCTGGGAAGACCAGAGACAAGGACACGGCAGTGCATGCTGCGAAGGCGCTGCACTGGGAGGTGACCAAGGCGATGGTGCCAAAGGAGGGTCTGGTGCGACAAGGCGCGATACGAGAAGAG